TGTGCCCTTACCTCTAGATACTAAACAGAGTTCTCCTTAGAATTCTGCTTTTCCAGCAGAATTCAATGAGAATGTTGAATTACTAGCAGAATTTTGCATGACTCTATCTACTTATCCCATCATGTAAATCAAAATTCTCCTTAGAATTTTGTTTTTTCAGCAGAATTTAATCAGAATTCTGATTTCCTACCAGAATTACCAAGAATCCACTAGAAAATATGATTTCTTTACGACGTTTGGATTCATTCTATGCATCTGATTTTACATTTCAATCAAAAATAAAAAAAGACATGGTAGTAGAACCAACAATGATGAATATTTACAAATTAAAAAACAAAACAAAACTTCGTCAAAGAATCAAAAAAATCAGTGCATGTTTTTTTTCAATAAAGCAAACAGCATAAGAACAAGAAAGTAAGTTGACATACCAAAAAAAAAACAAATGGCATAAAAGAAACAAAAAATAACAATCAATGCATGTTTTCTCTGCAAAAATATTCATGAATGAAGCAAACAACATAACAACAAGAAAATAAGTTGGAATAGAAAAAAAACAAGCGATAATATAACGAACAATGATGAATCTTTAAAATTTAACAAACAAAATTTCACCAAAGAGTCAAAAACGAACATCAATGTATGTTTTTTCTTGATAAATGTTCATAAATAAAGCAAACAACATAACAAGAAGAAAGTCAGTTGAAATAGAAAAAAAACACATGCTATAATAGAAAGGAAAAAACATGCATTGAGTTTTTTTGATTCTCTGGTGAAGTTTTGTTTTGTTTATTAATTTTTAAAGATTCATCATTGTTGGTTCTATTAACGTTTGTTTTTTTCCATTTCAACTTACTTTCTTGTTGTTATATTGTTTGCTTCATTTATGAAGATTTATGAAGAAAAAACATGCATTGATTGTTTTTTTGATTCTTTGTGAAGTTTTGTTTTGTTCTTTAATTTTTAATGATTCAGCATTGTTGGTTCTATTACCGTTTGTTTTTTTCCATTTCAACTTACCTTCTTGTTGTTTTGTTGTTTGCTTCAGTTATGAAAATTTACGAAAAAGAAACATGCATTGATTTTTTTTTTGATTCTTTGATGAAGTTTTGTTTTGTTTTTTTGATTTTTAAACATTGATCATTGTTGGTTCTATTACCATGTCTTTTTTATTTTTCATTCAAATGTAAAATTAGATGCATAGAATGAATCGAAAGTTTGTCAAGAAATCATATTTTCGAGTGACTTCTTAACAATTCTGCTAGGAAATCAGAATTCTGGTTAAATTCTGCAGGAAAAACAAAATTCTAAGCAGAATTTTGATTTAGATGCAAGGACAAGTGTGTATGATTGCACAATATTCTGTTAGTAATTCAGAATTCTGATTGAATTCTGGTGGAAAAACAGAATTCTCAGCAGAATTTTGTTTAGTGTCTAGAGGTAAGGATCAGAGACCGAAAACGAGTCGAGTACTCGACCAATCGACTCGACTCGACTCGACATTTAGTCGAGTCGAGTCGAATCGAGTCCAGTGAAACCTGCTTCCGAGTCGAGT